AGTCACAGCCAAACAGGAACAGACCAGATGAAGCTACTATGAGAAAAAGCAGAGAGAGCAGAACGTTAGAGATTGAACTAACAGATTCTGCAGAGTGGGAGAATAGAGATAGAATGAAGCTGAATGATGAAAAAGGGGTCCCTATGTCCTCCAGCAGTCTAAGCCTATAGTAGCAGAACTATAGAGATAGATCAGGATAACCTGAGCCACTCTAACTAGAAGCTTTATCAAAAAGGAAAGTTTTAAGCCTAGCCTTAAATCTTTTCGATAGTAGTTCGATCTCACATAGAGTCACTGACTGTTCTTTCTTTGGACCAAATAACAACTAATGAAACCAGAGTCCCCTGGATGCATGCCAGCTGCAGGGGGGTGACAGATTATTACTGGACCTTAGTGAGCCTTAGAGCTCCCTCACTGACTGAGGAGCAGCTGATGAGCTGTGAAAGTCAGTCCAGTTGAAGGCAGCCTTGATTTTAACCTCTCAAACTCACCGTTTTAAAGCATTTACAAATAATTGCTCAGAATGCATGAAAATTACACTATAAAATTTTTACCGATATAGACTGTTGTTATTGTTAGAAAGCTTAGATTCTCCACTATTTACCACCTAGTTCATTTTATGGACACAGCGAGCACCAAAGCATAATTAACACAGATATAGCAGCATGTCAGAATGTAAACAAAGCAGCCACAGCAAGCAAGCAGGTCTTTATTACTGCTTATCAAAAAAGACCTTTTATGTTCGAGAATAAAACCAACTTTGAGTCATGTTTGAACTGATGCAGCTTGGACCGTGTTTTACTCACCCAATTTTCATGTATATATTCAGAAACTAGAAGGTGTTAACTTTCAAATAATGTGTCACACACGTAATTTGGGGTTATAGTTCCTCAGTTATTTGCTTTTTCATTTAGATATGCAATAGGTGAGAATTTCCCAAAATGAGGTTAATAAAACATTTAGGTATTACTGGCAGCCATGCTGCTACCTGATTGGCTGGTTCCTATCAGGCGGGCGGGCAGCTGGTATAACTCAGTAATTTAGATGGTTAAACTGAGGCGGAGGTAGAACGGACCGACTATTGAGGCTTAAAGGTGAAGCTGAGACTAGCTAGCTTAGCTACATGATGCAGAAATCCTTTTTTCCCACTGACTGCTAACTTTGCCTGATTATCCATCAATGTTCACTAGATTGGTTCTTTGAATCTCTACTGGTGTCTGATAATAAACAAGCTCAGTGCAAAAAGTAAAGGAAACAGGCGAGTTCAGCTCCACAGCCTGAAAGGGCCACCATCCACCGTTATATTTTATTTCTCCCCTCTGATTGCTCTCTGAGATGTTCCATCTGTTTTTTCCCTTTAGATCAGTGTTTGATGCGGGATGAGCTGTGCTCCATGTTTCTGTTCTCAGCTGGATGTCTTCCTGTGTTGCAGGTCTCTCTCTGCGTCGCGGCGGTGCAGACTGTGAGGAGCTGCCCAGCAGAAACAAATCAGCCTTCTGTAGCATCCAAACCCACCACTGACTGCCGGAGGAAACCCAGTCTGTTCTCCAGGGTTCTGGTTCATCGTTCTGCTCATTTAAACCCCGGGAAGCCCTGACCCGCCCCCCATGTAGTGGGGGGGCTGCTGCTCTGTTGTTCCGTTCAGTGCAGACCCCTGGATCCCTGTGCTTTGGAACTGGTTTCTAAATGTCATTTTAGATTCCAGGCCAGCAGGTGGAGCCAAAGATCAGAAATGTTTCATGTAAACAGGAGAGAAGACTGTCAGATCTGAACCACTGATCTCTATTTATTCCCTGATTGCTGATCGTTGGTACTACGGGGTTGAAGTGAAGCCAACGGCCGCCATATTGGTACTCCCTAGTTAGACCAGTCTCAATTTAAACAATCAGTGCTACAGCATCAAACAATGATGATGTTCTAATTTTTAGGGGGGCTTAAGATTCTTAAAATAAAGATAAATTAATCACTTTTGACAGACTGGCTGTTTCATAACATCAGTAGATTAACTTTAACTTATGATAAACAAAGAGGCTCATCACATTAAATAGTCATTATGACTTCAATGAAGTCTATAAATCATTAATATAACATATTATACAAACCATCACAATAAAATTAATGTGTTAACGGAGCAGAATAATACAGATGAGCCAAAAGAGCTAAATGTTCATGTAACATACATGGATTTATTACATTTTTATGGTAATTACATTTTATAATTTTAATATGTAACATAAAGACTGAATGAAGTTCATGTCTGTTAATGCTTTAGTATTTTCCTGTTTGCAGATTGTGCATGAATGATGCCATCTCTGCATCAGCCTTTAGAAATGTTTCTGTTGCTTTTCTCCATCAGTATAACCTGCAATATATTTCATGACTTTTTCAAATGAGAAATACAACAAACTCTATAAAAACTACAGCATCATCCACCTAATAAAGAGTTAATACATTAACATTTCACAGTGAATGACTTTCTATTTCCTCTACTTTCTATTTTCTAACCTTAGACCCAATGTCAGTGTCTAACTCAGTCAATGTCTTCCAGTCAGTCTGAGATAGCCAGACTAATGTTAGTCTGCAGACTAAACTATAGGATCCATCGGCTAGAGATGGATTTATTGCTTAGTTCATCCACTGACTGGGAAATTACCAGTGGAACGTCTTCCTGCAGACAGAAAACTGCTGGTTTCTGCAGCCAAAATGCTGCAGGGAGGCATTTTCACTGCGCTTTTCCATGGGAGTGGGGAGTACCAATATGGCGGCCGGTGGCTTCACTTTGTTTCAGGTTATCAGCAATCCAGTGAATGAATAGAGATCAGTGGTCTGACCACCTTCAGCTGGTTGTTAAAGAACCTTTGAGGTGAGGTTCTATTAAAGGAGCAGAACGTTCTCATTATGCTGATTTTCTAAAGAAGTGGGAAGTTCCTCATGATGCTGTGATATTTAGCTCAGCACTCGCTGATCTGCTGCACTGGTTGGTCCTGCTTCCTCTGAGCAGGAGGCCTGGTTCTGCTTCTATGGTGGAGATGCACCATAAAGCCCAAAGTTCAGAGGTGATTCCTGATTTAGTGCTTGGGCCAAACATCCGTCTGCAGTCCTGACATGTCAGCCATGTTGATGGATGGATGTGGAGCGAGATGAGCTCAACTCTCCAGCCAGGTCTCCTGTGGATCGGGCCTGCCGCAGATCCAGGTTCTAAATGGACGTTCATTGGAAAAAGAGCTCAGAGCATCAATCAGTCTGCTAACGATCTGCACAGCTTAATTAGAGGTTCTGGGTTACAGAACCGTACAGAACCCTGTAGATGTTTCAGCTGGAACTGAACGTTTTCAGGAGCTTTGTACCCTTGATCTTTATTTTCCACATCACCAGTTGGTGAGTCTGGGTTTCCTGCAGGGATCCGATGTTTAATGGATGCATTGAAGGAGATGTTGCTCTGGGCCACCGGATCTGCTCCAAATGTCCCGTTAATCAATAATTAATTCATTAATCATTCAAATGAGTCAAAGATGCAAACTGTTTAATTTAAAAACAATGATTTGAATTTGATTCATTATTCAGGCTGATGTCTGCAAAGTTTCATTTCTGTTAAAAGTTCAAAATCAGAATATTACTTCAGACCAATTTAAAGCATTTTGATACAGAAATTCAGGCTTAATGAAAATATTTCATGTCTGATTTTTAAAAGTCAAATTTATTCTGAATAATGGGCCTCGTTTTCTAAGCTCCTCCTAAACCGGTGGATCATCCAGCTGAAGGAACCAGGATCAGAACTCAGGACTGAACAGAGAAAAATTCACAGCATGAACCTGGAAGCTTCCTGAACACCATGGGGTGCAGACCGCTGGGGGTGCAGACCGCTGGGGGTGCAGACCTCTGGGGGTCCAGACTGCTGGGGGTCCCAGGAGGCCGCTGGTGCTCAGATCCGGTTGTTTCTCCACTGCCTCCTCTGGCTGCGTCCAGAACACGGCCTGTCTGTGGAAGGATGAGCGCTGGGTGTTTCTTCGCCCTAAAGAACTTTTTGAACTAAAGTCTGTTTTCTGTCCTGTAAATAATATCTTTATTTTTCTACGTAGACACACGGTGTCCAGCTGTAGCGTATTTACAGTGTAATGCTGTGCATGAATCTATGGGAGCACACAGGGTTTTCTATGTAGCTGGTTTCAACATGATCACCAAATAAATCCATACTGGCTTTAACTGGTGCTGCTCAGTCTGCTCTGTTACTGACTCCTTACTGACATGGATCTGGGTTTAGAATGAAATGAGCTAAAAAAAACATAATTTTAAAGTCAGATCTATTACTGAAATAAATGAAATATTCAATACTTGATATCATAGAATTCACTTTCTTTTTCAAGAAGACTGTGAGACTATTGTCTGGTTGCTGTGACAGATTTAGCCAGGTTGGAGCAACTGTCCAACTGTGGAATTATGCAAAAACTAGAAGCTGTAAAAAGGCCAACTTTGCTGCATTTATTCCAGAGGGTGTAATGATGCATAATACTGCAGAGAATTGATTAATTAATATCTGGAGGGAAAAACAGACAATGATCCAGAGCAGTCCAAAGAAACCCACCAGTGGAAACATCCAGAGATTCAATTCAAATGAATTGAGAAAGCTTCCTGGAGAGG